GACTGTGAGAGGACAGTTGTATATTGACAAAAGTAGTAGAGGAAAGCAAGAAGAAAGGACTAAGTATTAATTGCAAAAAGACAAAATGCATAGTTATCAGCAAAAAATAAAAGCTTTGAATAAGGAAACCTCATCCCGATTTTAGCCTCTTAGCCTCTGTCCAATCAACATTCCAAATAAAGAGACAACTCACAACGACATCAAAAGACTGTATTTCAACATCCCTACAACTAAAATGGATGCATTAAAATTAAGCCATCCTTTGCAAAAGCATTTTTAGGTATTAAATTTCTGTAGATTTTATACTAATACATAAGAATTACTTAATTGTTCATTTCTTCAAATCTCTTTATTACTTGAAGCACACGGATTCATTTATAGTCAAGACTCATATGTATTCTAGTTGGGTATTATTGATTTTACAAGTAATCATTTGATAACGAATTATTTGGAACAAATAGTTCTCACATCTCCAATCAAATCTAAAACCCTGCCATCCTTAAGTCTTTAAAATATTCTACTCTTAATACCCTCGGGATATGTCATACATCTGCCAAGCACTGTTTACATACTGTAAAAGGACAACCATATCTTCCACTCTCATTCTTCCTTTCCACCTAGCATGTGGTAAATATAAAAACCAACAAAGGATAATATTTTCCCCCCAACACACAAGTGTATATCAGAAGTGCACATATATTGCCTTACAGCTAAGTTGAATGTCTTTTCTTTCCTTTTAGCTATGTACACATTAATAAAATTTCTCTTGTTTTGTTAATTTTTTATTAGTTTGTATAAAAATATGAGAAAATATCTCCCTGTTGAAATTCATTCCTTAGATTCATTTTACCCCTGCAAATAATGACAACCCGTTATTTACATGTGAAAATTTTGGTTACCACTGTTCTTAGAAGAACCAACTGCAATATCTGCAAGTCATTTTCTTCTTCTATGTACTATGTCTCTTAATGACATTGACAATCATGACTCTCCACAATTTCCTTTCCTTTGTATCTCTTAATGAACCTTGCTCTGCCATCCATTTACTCAAGCTCGCTAGGGAGGTGATGCAGTTTTCCTCTGTTCCTCTTGCCTTCAATCTGCCCCATGAGTATCAAATTTTCCAAGCCCTCTTTCCTCATTATATGCTCTAGAAATGTCAACTGTCTCTTTCTGATGCTAAATACCAAGTTAAATCGTGTTCATCTCCTTAGTTCTCACCTGATTGCTCTGCCGCCATAGCCCATAGGAATTACTTCTTCCATCCGTACTGAAGCAACATGTCTGGTTGCAACAGACATCTCTTTGTCTCTGCTCGTAATGAGTGCATGCATGTCCTCAATGAAGCAATGTTACTGTTTGCTGATAGACTGAAACAATGTATTGCATCTCACAAGATTGGTTCTAAAGATTATTGGCAGCTCTGCAAGAGTGTACTGAACTACAGCAAATCCTCAATTCCTCCTCTATTCAATCAATTCGAAGTCCTAACATCCTCAGCTGATAAGGCTGAATGCTTTGCTTGGAAATTCTCATCCAACTCAACACTCAACTCATCCAGGGTACTCACACCTGATTTTCTCTCTAGAACTGAGCCTAACCTGAGTGAAATGTGCATAACCCTATCGATGGTATTAGACATCATCTCTAAATTAGACTTTCATAAAGCAAGCGGTGGTGACAGGATACAAGTTGTAATCCTAAAGAAATGTGACCCTGAGCTGGCACAAGTTCTCTCCAATCGATACAACTATTGCCTTGCTGATTCTTGCTTTCCAGCCTGTTTGAAGTCCTCCTCTGTTGTCCCAGTCTTTAAAAAGTCTGGAGATCCTTCTGATTCATCTAACTACCATCCCATCAGTCTCCTACCATTCTTTGGCAAAGTCTCCAAGGCTTTAATCAATGCCAAAGTAGTTAAGCATCTCACCTTCAATGATCTGCTGACAAACAATATGGTTTCCACTTTTTCCTGTTGATAATGCCAGTGAAGCTCAATCTGTTGTTTTAGATATATCAGAGGCATTTGACAGGGTTTGACAGGCTGGTATTCTACATAAGCTTTAGGGATACAGTATAACAAGATGATTATTTGATTTAATCCAATCGAACTTTGGTGTACCTCAAGGCTCTATCCTTAGTTCTACGTTGTTTCTGATCTTCATCAATGATCTTTCTGATGTCATCAGTTCTCAAGTCGGCATTTATAAAGATGACACTACCATTTACTCCTGTCTCAATAGTAAATCTGGCATTGCTGACAAAGTTAACCTGGCTGCTGGTCTCGAAAACAACCTCCAATCTGTGGTTGACTGGGGCAGGAAATGGCTTGTGAATTCTAATGCATCCAAAACAAAACTGCTGTCATTTATTCACCATAGAGAAATGTCATTGCTTCCTAACAGCATGGTTGATGCTCAACTCCACGAGAATGCCTCATTGCACCTTCTTGGTCTCACGTTCACCACTGACCTGAGGTGGAACAACTACAGTGAATCAACTGCTGCATCCACTGCAAGGAAATTTGGTTCTCTGAGTTACACCAGAAGGTTTTTCTCGTCCATCCTTCACATCTAAAAATGGAATACTGTTGACATATATGGACTAGTGCCCCTGCTGTTCATCTCAAGGTTCTCAACAAAATCCAAAGACAGATATACAATATGATTGGTCCTGATTTGGGGTCTCAACTCCAGTCACTTTCTAACCAACATAATGTCGCTTCCCTCAGTCTTTTCTGTAAATATTTTCATGGCATCTGCTCTGATGAGTTATTTTTACTGGTGTCCCAATTGCATGAATTTAAGCGTGCTACTAGATTGGCATCTCAGTCCCACCTTTTTACTGTCGAAACAGTTAAACATGTCAGTGGAAAACATTAGTCTGAGAATACGCAATGAGTCACTCTTCTGGCGGTTAGAAACTGCTAGCAAACAGATACACTCACTTTATTTACAATACAATTCATTTCCAGTGAATTGATTGTCTTTTAAGAATGGAATGTAAATAAAGTCATTCAATCATTGCACAGCATCTTTAACAGTTGATACTGCTAACAGGCAAAATATTTGAATGTTTTTAACTAACCTATTCACTTTTAAATCTTGAATTTTCATTGTTCTAAATTTCTAAAAAGAATTTACAACAATCATTCAATCTGATCAGGCAGATTTAAAAGCAGTTACTTCTTTTCCTTCCTTTATGACAATTGTTGTCATTGAATTGTCAAGACATGATTATTTCATAAAAGGTCAGTTTTCCTACTGCTCTTATGATTTGACATACACACAGACATGTAGTATATAATGGTTACAACTCAGTTTTGAGTAATGTCATCACTTGATTTATCCTCAAATATGGGAAATGGCTTCTTAGTCTTGCTAGAGTCTTACATTCTCTTTTACAGATGTGACAAAATTGGGCATCTTTTGCAATACTCTAGCAAACTTTGATATAATATTTTAGTCAACCAACTGAGGCATATTTTTTACACTCTCTGAATAATGTGGCATCTTTGATGATTTTTAGGCCTGCTCTACTTAGACAAACACAACTATCTTCATTCTACATTATACAAAATTCTGTGCCCACATTCTCAGAGAAATTAACATCAAGACCTTCACGAACATGTCTCTTGATTAATTTTAAAGTCTCTCTTACTATTGGGCACTGCTTTCCTTCAGGATGAATAACCATGAGCTAGGTTTTCCCAGTCATGTTGTCATCCTGCAGTGTTGCAATCTTTATGCTTCAGTTTCAGCTTGTGAATTGACATTTTTCCTTCAGCCAAATCATGAGACAGAAACTGTTTAGGGATCCTATGATCACTCCATCATATCCGGTGCTGAAGTACCTGTGACTCTATACTGGTAGAAAGACTGCATTTGAGAATGTCAATGTCAATATATTTGTCAGCAGATACCCAATATAGGGCAGAGACAATGTTAGTGAAATCACTACAACCTGATATGTGACTCATGTCTTATATGCTTACAACAATGAAAACATAACAAGTATTTTAAACCTTTAACTTTGTCCATATAGTTTTGTGTGCAATCATCTATTTGATTGAGGGCAGGGTTTCAATTTAGAGGAATGGCTGCTAAAAATATTCCCCTCAAAATTGTACAGATGAATGCTGGGATTTCTTCCTAACCAATAAAAAATGAACCACTTCTTGGCCTCATCCACCATACTTTTGTCTTTTTCTTGTGAAGTCAGAACACTACAATCACATGACTGTATTTCTTTTGTCTGTGAACACCATTCTTACATTGTGAGCATTTTGCCTTATTACTGTTGCTTTGCCTAGCATATACAGTGTGTCCATAAAGTTCGTGTGCATTTTAAAAAATTTATAACTTTATTTGTATTTGTGATAGAAATAATTTGTAAAAAGGATTAGAAAGAAGTAAATCTATATTTTTTAAGGTTTTATTAAAATTTTATTTAAGTTTCCACATGTCTTCCATCATTAGCAATACAAAGGGTAATACAATTTTGCAGTTCACGGAAAACATTTGCCAACTGATTTACATTAAATGCCTGAAATCACATTAGTTATTTTAGCTATACTTAAAACTAGGTACATTAAACTTTATAACATTTTTTACAGATTATTTCTATCGCAAATAAAATTAAAATTATAAATTTTTAAAGTGCACACGAACTTTATGGACACCCTGTATGTATTATTTGCTTAGTATTATTTTACCCTGTTCTTTTTCTTCCTTTTCTTATTTTTCATTTATTGAGAACTTCATTAACTCCAATTGTTGGGCATTTTGATGATTTCCCTTTAACCATTGCTAATTGTTCTACAAGTGTACAGTAATATTAATCCATTCTAAAGAAAAATAGAAAAGATTATCAAAGTTCGTTCATGAAATTAAACTTTATTTTAAACTGAATTCCTTTGATCCCTTTTCACAGTTCAGTTCAATGTAAATTTTTTAATGGAGAAATAGTTTCAAAATATTAATCACACAGTTCATTTCCAAATTTCACTGACGAAGCTGACCTACAAAAGAAAAAAAAATCACCAATGTTTTATCACTGAATTTCAGCTCAAAAATTAATATTGCTAATTTTCAAATTTGTTTTTCTGGCTATCAAACCTTTGACCTTTATGAAAAAAAAATTACCATCACATGCAGCCATTGGGCTGGCTATCTAAAAATGTCAACTAAAAAAATTGTTTAACCATTATTATAAGGTTTGCATAAAGCACTTAAAAACAATTTGTTTCTATCTCATTTGCAAACCTTTTTAGGTTATTAATTTTGACTTAATTAAATAAGAGTCTACAATGAAAATGTTACGAGACCCTACAAAGAAATTCCAAATATTTATTAATATGTTACTTAATAGCCATTATTCAAAGCAGTTTTTCTTATTTATTCTTTTGACCAATGCATTCTCCAACACTCTTCATGTAAATAAGGTTCCTTGCAAAAGCTGAAGAATTAATGTGCAAGATGTAAGAAGAAAGTTGAGAAAAGTTCAATAAATTTACTGATTTCAAAACTTCTAAAGAAAAACTTAGACAACAAATATTTAATAAACAAACAAGAAAATACAGATTATTCTTGATTTTCATTATTTGCGGCCATTCTTATTTTTCAACAGTTGTTACCACTTCTTTTCATAAAAAATATCTCATTTGACTACACTACAAATTTTTTATGCAAGTCAATGTTTTCATCATGAAATTGTTATGAAACAATTTGTGTGAAATATTGTGTGTGAACGTGGAATCTTTGATTACTTTGGTTGTGACCCTGGGAACTTTTAAAACATTAAATATGCACCTAGGAATACAAACCTGGGATCTTCAAAGACCTTGAGTGTGAATCTTAGAAATTCTAAGAACTTGGTTGTGAAACTGGAAACATCCAAAAACTTACTTGGGAATTCTGTGTATCTTGGAATTTTGAAGACATTGAGTGTTAACCTTGGAACTTTTAACATCTAAAATGTGAACCTGGGAAGTTCTAAAACTTTGATTGTGAACTTGGGAACTTCAAAGACCTTAACTCTGAAGTGTGAACTTCTAAGACCTTAGGTGTGAACCTGGAAACATCTAAGACCTTAGGTGTGAACTTGGAAACTTCTAAGATTGTAGGTGTAAGCCAGGAAACTTCTAACATCTTAAATGTGAATTCTAAGAGCATAAATGTGAAAATAGAAACTTCTATGGTCTTGTGTGTGAACTTTGGAAATTCTAAGAGCTTGACTGTTGACCTTGAAATTTCTAAAAATTAGATGTGAACCTAGGAACTTTTAAGAACTTGGTTATGAAACTGGAAACTTCTAAGAACTTGTTTATGAACTTGAGAAATTCTGTGATCCTTGGAATTTTCAACCCGTTGAATATTAATCTGGGAACTTCTAAGACTTTTGTGGGGACCTGGGAACTTCTAAGACATTAGGTGTGAACCTGGGAACTTCTAAGACTTTAACTGTGAACTTCAAAACTTCTGAGACCATAAGTATAAACCTAGGAACTTCTAAGACCTTGGGTGTGAACCTGGGAACTTCTAAAACCTTTAGTGTGAACCTGGAAACTTCTAAAACCTTGGGTCTGAATCTGGGAACTTTTAACATCTTAAGTGTAAACCTAGAAACTTCTAAAATCTTGTGTGTTAAGTTGGAAACTTCTATGGCCTTTGGTGTGAACCTTGGAAAATCTAACAAATTAGGTTTAAATTTAGGAACTTCTAAGGCCTTTGGTGTGAACATGGAAATTTCTAAGACCTTGTGCATAAACCTGGAAACTTCTGAGAGCTTAAATATGAATGTGGAGGCTGGCAAAATATATTTCCAGCTGGGTCGTAGAAATCCTAAAATTCCTAAATGTCCTGGAAACATTTTAGAAAGTACAGAAAATGTAAATGAAAAAAATTAGAACAAATGAAACAGAAAAAGTAAATCCATTTACCTTTAGAAATGCTTCTCTTTGGTGGTCGAATGAGGCCCTGTTTGCCTTGAGTGGAAATCAGTTGCGCAGATGTACTCTTTGGGTCCAATTGATTTTCATCTTTCTGACGATCATACTCAAAACCTGTCAAAATGGCTGATCTCATTAAGGAAAAACATGTGCTTGATGACAGATGACTTTATCCCTGTATATAATACAATTTCTATCAATGTCTATCAATCCGTTTCTCTACCATAACTCTAAATTAAAATAAGGACCAGGAAATTTGTAACAAAACTTAAAGGATTAACCAGATGATGGAATATGGATTTATTAAAATATACTTTAAAAAATCAATGTTCAAAGTGGCATTTTATTTCTAAATTTACTAAACTCTTATCTGCCACACTTTAACATCAAATAAAAGAGAATGAGGATTTTATAGTGTACTGTGAAATCATTTAACATAAAAATAACTGTTCTCTTCTATTTCTCTCTCTTAATACCACCTTTCACTCTCCCTCTCCTTCAATTCTCACCCTCCTTCCTTCCATTCTAACCTACTTCTTCTCCCACTTTTACTCTCTTTCACCTTTTCTTCTCATACTGCTACACTTTAAAAATAATAAACTGTTTGGCTCTCTCTCTGTACACACACACACACACACACATATATATATATATAATTTTACAGGTATATTATTTCTAATTACAATAACCATTATATTTAGTGGATAGATGTGTTCTAGTAGACATCTCTGTTTAAAAAACAGAATAATTAATATCAACCAACTATTTTTTTTTTATTTTCCGTTTTTTATTGGAAAAATCCAGGCTGATACCTGCCAATTATTCTGTTTAAAAAACATAGATGTCTACTCAAATACATGTATCCATTAGATATAATAGTTATATATATATATATATACATATATATATATATATATATATATATATATATATATATATATATATATATATATAAAATGTAAATCTATTTAAACTCAGTGGATGAAAACATATTGGCATCCAAGGAAAAAAAAATTTGGAAAAAAGAAAAAGAAAGAACTAAAAACCTCCAAACAGTGCAAAAGAAATCATACAGTACCTTAAAATTCTGGTACAAAGAAAAAAAACAGCAAGTAATATGTATATATTATAATATATAGGTATATATTATTATATTTTTATTTAAAAATATGTTTTCATTGCAACACAGAAATTATTGTTTCAGAATTAAGTTCCGAACCAGTAATTTCTCTGTCGTGATGAAAACATATTTTTAAATAATAATAATATTATGCTCTACTTTGAAGCATTTTTTAAAAAAATAAATGCTAAAGAAGTGTAGTTTATTATTCTGACTGCTCTTTCTTTTTATTTTAATATTTGTGTGTGTCTATATATATCTATATTGATGCATGTTTCATTAAATAATATAGACAAGTGTTGTCTATTTATTTTATGTAAATTCTTTTCATATCATATGATAAGCTTAATAACATTATCATTAAAAGAAGGAAGAAAATCACAATATTGATACATATTTTTTAATCCTATCTAAGCTTTCATCTTACATAAGCCATTATCAAAGATGACAATTACATTACAATATATTAAACAATACATGAACAAAATAATGATAGTCAGTTTTTGTTTACATGGAAGATTTCCAAGAAACAGCAAACTCATGCATATGAGACACTGAAAGCTCATGATGTCACACATGACTATGCGAGAGTGAATATGAGAAGTATTAAGTATGGAAATCTGTTGGTATAAACCAATGGTTTCTGTTATCAATTATAGGCATTTAAGAATATTTGTGGAGATTTCACAGTTTATTTTATTCAGGTTAGGTTTCAACTGTTTTATGTATATAGCTTCAAGAATTTTTAGTTTTCATTTATTGTTTTCATGTTTAAGTATAGTTGTGTTTTCAACAAGGATTTTGTATGTATTTAGGAGTATAAAATGAATTATATGAAATATACAAAGTATGTAAGATGCTATTTGTGAAAGCCAGTTGAATGATGAAATTTTTTTATTCTGTTCAATGCTATCTTCTCAATAGAGCAAAATGTTGACAACAAAATAAAAAAATTTAAACTGCTTTTCACAAATACCATCTTATATATGATGATTGCAGTAACATGAAACTCTAGTAGAGGCTTGAATGTTGTCTCTGAGTTCTTGGTTGATTTAGACATGGAGCACTCTTTATTACAGTTCAGACAGGTGTCTGTCTTTTGGTCTTTTCTTCTTAGTTTAGGTTTCCTTTTCTTATTTTTTGTTTTTGTCTTGGTTTTTGTTTTATTGAGTGTTGGCTTATTTGTTTATTAGTTGTTTTTTTTTCTTTGCTCACCTCGTAGGCTGTGTTAGTTTTACCAATACTTTATTTTTTATATATATATATATATATATATATATATGTATGTCATGTCAGTCATGTCTTTCATTGTTCTCAGCAATACTTGCGCTTTTACAATCCTTCTGTGCTTTGTGGAATTTGTTTCTCCATCCAAATGCTCAAACTTTTCAATGTCCACCTTCCTCTGCTTTTCTTGCATTCTGTGTGTCCTGTCTTTTTCTGATTGTTCACAACAGTTTCTTTGTATTTCCTATCCTTCTTAAGACATCCTTATTTGACACATGTTTTGTTCATGGTATTCTCAGCATTCATCATATCTTGGTTACAAGAGGAATCAAGAAAACAGTAGATAACAATTGACATTGCATTTAAATGTTTAAACATCAAAGTTGGATGGAAAGTAAATAGCTAGAAAGAGTTCTACAGGTGAGATGTGCAAGAAAAGAAACTGTTAGCATAGAACTTACAGTTACATCTAGCCAAATGAACTGTAAAATGATGAAACCTAAACTAAGTTTAGGTACCAAAGATCATTAGAACAATTACCATGAAAATATTTATAGAAAAGGTACAGGGAAGCTACATTAAGGCAGTGGGAAATTGACTGTAACCGAGATGTTAGGTCAGGACCAAGAACATTGCAGATTCTCCTAGGATTTTATCAAGAATCATTAAATATATAGCAAGAGCACCAGACCATATATAACAACAATAACATTCCAAGCTTGGTTTGGACAACTGGACAAGTGAGAAGCCAAGGCATCCATTGTGGCTGGACGTGTATTGAAGGTTCTTGCTTTGGTACACAGTAGCTTGGCTTTGTGATGGTTTTGTAGCATTTGGTAGTCATCACAGTAAAGGTGTGTTCTGTTTCTGCATGGCTGATACACATACTAGTTTCTCTTGGTGGTGGTGGTGGTTGCATCTGCTGCTAGTAACTGAACAGGAGATTATTAATAAAGGAAAAATGCATGCAAAAAGAATGAAGTCAATTTTTTTTAATCAATCACAACAGCAATAATGTCACTAAGACGCAAGATCTTACGGGGTGTGAAAGAGAATGAGAAGAATTTAGAAGGAACAGAAACCCAATCCTAAACAGAAAACAAGGGATAAACCTCAAATCCTGTTCAAAAGAGTGAGAAGAAGTGTGAATTGGACAATAGACAAACTTATCTACTCCTATTGAGGAAAAAAATAAGAAATGGAGTAATGAATAAATTCACCTCCCAAAAAGTGAATATGAAACTTTAGTCCCTTTCATTAATATGCATGCCACTTATCACCTCATAGTAAAAATTAGCCTTGCTCTGGAGCAGTTGATACTGGTCTCTGACCAACTTACCAACTAAAAGAGGCTTGGAGTCTGATGTAACATCCTTTTATAGTGGATGCACACAGCTAGTAACTCTTAATGCTGTTTCTTGATTGGTTACTTATGACATCATCCACTTTCTGGACACTTTCTTTTCTGAGATGTGTCACCTTTTGTTCTATGTTCATTACAAACTCCTTTGTACTGGTGATGCTCTTACTACAGTATTTCAAACGATCCATACTACAGTGGTCTTCAAGTATATCATTTTTAAGGAAATAGAAAGGGATTTTTAGTTTTAAGGTTTTTCTCTTTCTACCTAAACAAAAGGCACCACAAAAATATACCAGTCCATTCCAGCAATGCAAAATAGTAAAAAAACTGGAATAATGGAATTGAAATGGTATGTACATCTACCACAATGGTATCTATATTATCCAATATGTTTTCAATGAAAAATACAAAACAGGCTGACATTTTATGAAATATATATATACTATAAAATAGGAACAAAATTGCAAAGGTCTGGCTATAGAAAATGCACACCTTTCATTAGCAGCAGAGCCCAAGTGTCTAAGTTTCTAAAAACAAAGAAAATGCTACTTACATGACCAGCTGTTGAGGAGTACTTTTTGTTATGGTCAATGACCTCATACATAAAGCTAAGCAAAAAAAGAAAAAGAGTTTCTTTTAGAAAGCATGGGATTTTAAATGTGCTGGTCACCTGCTACTGCTGCTACTAGATAGCTCTGGCTGTTGCCACTGTATATCTTCTCTACAGCCAATAACACGTGTCAGGACATAAACACACTACAATATCATGTGTGCATCTCATATTGGTGGAATGAAGAGAGGCATATTTTTCTTTCCTCAGCGATTAGATACCTTAAAGAGGCTCTAGAATGAATCAGCCAAAATGCTGCTTTAATATTAACAATACAAATGAATTCAATTGCAAAAGTTATAGACAAAATAATAATTTATTTCTATTTTTTCTGGATATTTAAAATATATGTTCTGTTACTACAGTACAAACCAGTATTTCTTTACTTAGCCTTTGTTTGTCCTTTTATCTGATAAGTTACTTTTTAGGTTAGTCACCATTTTTTACTACTTCCTGTTAACCCTGAGCTATCACCAGAGCTGGCACAATAAAGCATGGGTTCAAGCACAAGTTTCATATTTCTCTCACCCCGCTAAATCTATCCCCCCTCACAACGATAGTATTGCCATTAAGTAACCTTTAAAACCTTTTCTCTCTACATTGGCCTTGTTTAATATCATGTTACTATTTGAACATTTGTTTAAGGTAGTCTTCTTTTTAAGTTTATTTTACTGTTGCCTCTATGCTGAACCCATTTAACTAAATGTCAGCAATTTACAGACTGTTCCTAAATTTTAATTTTCTTCCTTACACTGAAACTTTGTAAATTTCTTCCTATAGCAAAAAACTTGCTACATTTTTTACCCTTTAAGACCCTTGGTTTCACTTATATCTCACATATATTCATACATATATTTCACATACATACATACACATACATATATGTATCACATACATACATACATATATACACATACATATATGTATCACATACATACATACATATATACACATACATATATGTATCACATACATACATACATATATACACATACATATATGTATCACATACATATATACACATACATATATATATCACATATATATACACATACATATATGTATCACATACATACATACATATATACACATACATATATGTATCACATACACATACACACACATATATGTATCACATACATACATACATATATACACATACATATATGTATCACATACATACATATATACACATACATATATGTATCACATACATACATATATACACATAGATATATGTATCACATACATACATACACATAGATATATGTATCACATACATACATACACATAGATATATGTATCACATACATACATACACACACATACATATATGTATCACATACATACATACACACACATACATATATGTATCACATACATACATACACACACATACATATATGTATCACATACATACACACACACACACACATATATGTATCACATACATACATACACACACATATATGTATCACATACATACATACACACACATATATATGTATCACATACATACATACATACACACATATATGTATCACGTACATACATACACACACATATATGTATAACATACATACACATACATACATATATTCAGTCTTTTGTCTTCTATGTTACATTTCTTCTTCACCTGCCTATTATATTTGTATTTCTTTCTTTTTCTAGTTGTACTCTTTTGGACTTTAATAAACCTACTGATGAACAGGATTTTGTCTTCAGGGTTTTAATTGCCTTGAGGCACTTATCTAGCTGTCTTCGTGTATGGACATGCAAGCAGAACAATATATGAATTACTTTATACTTTTTTGTCAATTGCAAAGATTCCTTAAAGTTTTTTCCTGGATCTGAAAACAAAAAATAATTAAAATAAAAATTATAACAGAATAATGGATGAAAGCAAATAAAATATGTGCACGCTTATAGAATTTTTAAGGTGAGTAAAAGATATAATTTCATTAATTGACACATAAAATAGAGAGCCAACAAAGCAAGGATACTAGCTTGGATTGGAAGATGAAGGATGTCTGTCTCTGTAGTAATGCAGAGGTTATGTCGGATGGTTCCAACTCCAGTATCTTGATCTGCCCCAACCGCAATAGCAAACAATTCAAGAAATAATTTCCTTTTCAAACCTGCAGCCACCTAAGAGTTGCAGAAAAAAAAGTTGATATTAAATCAAATGCATTCTAAATGTTTCTTTTTTTTTCTGAAAAATTATTACAATTCAATTTTGTTAATAATTACATTTAAATACAACTAATAATCCTCCAAAACTTTTCAAAACTCTGATATTAAATAACTCAATAAATTTACATTTTAATTTCACTCATGTGATAAACCAAAGCTACTTCATTTGAATTACTTTTTAACCAAATTGTGAATATTAATGCAGTTGCAACAAAGGTGTTATAGTGTTGGGTTGAATTTCCTTCCTTCTCTTCATTTAGTATACACTGTGGTTGGCTAGTCATGTGACCCAACCAGTGAAGTCCCTAACTGTACAGATAACAAATTTTGGCTTGGTATGTTTTGTTTTATGGCATATCAACCTCAATAGGTTATTTAATGCTGACAAGATTTTTATTCCTGGTAATATATTTTTTTTTAAATGTATTGCTGGTAATATTTTTTTCTTCAAAAATATACCGCTGGTAATATTTTTTTCTTCCAAAATGCATTGCTGGTAGATATTTTTCCAAAATGTATTGCCGTTAATATGTTTTTTTAAAAAAATGTATTGCTGGTAATAATTTTTTCTTCAAAAATTTACTGCTGGTAATTTTTTTACAAAAACGTATTTCTGGTATTAAAACCTATTTTTACACTTTCATAGTGTTTTGACCCCAGTTTGGGTGTTAACTATTTGCCCATAGCTGGGATCCTAACAGGTGCTACCACCCGGGTCAGGGTGGACCTGGGAACACCAGTAATTAAGAGGTGGTTCCACACTCCTCAAAACCTCCTGATCTGAGGCCTTGCTGTTAGATGTAGTTTATTGTCTTATCCAGGACAAGATAACAAATTTTGGGAAGATATAGGGAAGAGATGTTTTCTTGACACATGGGTAAAACACAACCTCCTTCAACAAAACATGCAACATCTCTATTAATCACCACAGAGATCCTTCCCTGCCCTCCATTAGAATGTCTGACGCTCAACTTCTCGAGAGCAACTCTCTGCAGCTTCTCGGTCTCACATTGACTACTGACCTGAGATGGAATAAATACATTGAGTCAATTGCCTCATCCACCGCAAGGAAAGTTGGCTCCCTGAGCCACGCCAGGAAGTTTTTCTCCCCGGAGTCGATCCTCCAGATCTACAAATCAACAATTCGCACTTGCATGGAGTATTGCTGCCATATATGGTCTGGTGCCCCTTCTGTTTGCCTCGGGGTTCTTGATAGGCTCCAGAGGCGGATATGCAATGTAGTTGGCCCTGCCCTGGCATCTTGTCTACAGTCACTTTCTCACAGATGTGCCGTCGCCTCCCTCTGTCTGTTCTACAAATACTTTCATGGAAATTGCTCCGAGGAGCTGCATTCGCTGGTTCCCAGACATCATGAGTTCCAGTGCCTTACGAGGCTGGCATCCCGCTCTCACCCCTTCACTGTCAAAACTCCTAAATGTAGCCATCTCTTCTACTCTAATAGCTTCATGTCTTGCACCTCTCGCCTGTGGAACTCCCTTCCCTATTCCTGTTTCCCTGTGAGCTATAATCTCCAGCTATTCAAGTGTAATGTCAATCGACATCTCCAGTTGCCTTGATCTATCCCCTACCCTCATCCTTTCTTCTATCACTCCTATCTGATCTTGCTCTAAATTTTCTGTAACCCCTTGCGTCCTAGTGGCTTCCCGCCTTGCCTGGGGTGAAATGCTTAAAAAAAAAAAAAAATCTCTTAATAAAGATCAACTTTTGTAACATCCACTAGCTTTCCATTTCAGGGTTGAAGAGAAGGCATGGAACACATTTCTACACTGTGTTAGCATGTTATCCTTCTAAGAAATCCTTAATTTACATTCTCCTAACTTCTGCCAAGCTATCTTTATTCATTTTTTTTTTTTACTTATAAATGTTTTGAGTAAATATCTGTTCATATAGCAAGTACTACTAAAGATTCCCATAAATATTTGATCAACCTAACAATAAAATTCAAAAGACAAACTTATAAACCAAACATAAAAGTTTTATGAAAATAAAATCTTACTGAGCCAGGCTTGTAGATCACTTTGAGACCGGTTGCTGGTGGTGGTTGTTTGATTTTAAAATGACAAGAATCTACACCCGTATTAATCAGATAGACAGTCATCATGTAAGAGTTGCCTTCACGCAAAACTCCAAAGTTGATCTCTTCTGGATACAGATTCATTCCTCTCATCATTTTGAGCCTCCATTGTGATTCTGAAGTTGATCCTTTCATGATACTGTTGCGAATTTGACGTCGCACAGGCTCTTCAATTGTCTGAAACTAATAACATATCAGCCATGAAAAATAGTGACATTTAAAATACATACTGCACATATGCACAGGCACACACATATACACACAAACATGCACACACTGTAACCCACTGAGTAATTTAAATATGAAAACATTTATTAAATGGTACCTTTGAGATTCAGATAGGTGAGCTGAGAAAGTTAATCTTTTTTGAAAAATAATCTATTGGGGACATCTTTATTCCAGCTCCCACTTTTCTTCCCTGATCACTACAATCTTAACATCTTAAGTCAAGCATTATCTTCTTATTTTTTTTAAACATTTCACCCCAAGCAAAGTGTAAATGCCACTAGTATGCAGGGGTTTACAGGGAGTGAAAGTGAGAGAAAAGTATAGGGAGGATTAAGGAAAGAACAAAAGATCTATCCAACATATCCTCATCATCTGCACTTACTTCCTGCTCTTGCATCCATACAACAACCTCATTCAGTAACACTGAGTGGCTCTTGAGCCTTAGATTAACATTTATTAAAAAAAAAAATAAAATAAAAAAATTCAAGAAATTTCCTCCCACCTATTAATTTAGGCTGCAATCATTCCTGAATAAAGTGTTTCATTATTGAAAATTAGAAAAATATTATTTACACTATTTATATTGTTTATCATCCTTATTGCCATATTCATGACATTTTAACCATTGTATTCTCCGACCTTCTTCAGGTGATATACATTATCACCTGAAGAATGTCAAAGCATACCATGGCCAAAACATTGTGAATATGGCAAAAAAGATGAGGACATTAGTCCAGATGACGTAAATAATGTAAATAGTTATAATACCTCATCTCAGAAATATAAACAGATATAGAAAGATATTATGAAAAAATTACTTTAAAAATTCCAGATATACCTTTTATTCCAAACAACCCAAGTATTTGAAATTCAAGTGTAATAATATATGATTAGTTAAAATATAACAGATTGTAAATCATAGAAAAATTTCAATTATTAGGTTGTCAAATATTTGTCCTTTCACCTAGTAAGAACGTATTTGCTTTGGAAACCACAGCAGCTACACCTAACACTATATTCCACAAGGAAGTCTACTTGGTTAACAACAACATACAAACATTTGTGCTGTTTTTGTTTATTTGGAGAATTTAGTTTTAACTATCTTTATTCAAAAGCATGAATTTTTTTAATTTAAATTTACCAAAATTAGTTAATTTTTTTGTTTACTGGTTCAAATATTGAAGATAGCAGAAGATAAGCAACACTTTTAGCATATTATGATTTTTATTTTAAGCAAAGTAAAAATGCAACTCAAATGCAAAAAAAAATATGTTAGTGCAGTTTATGATAAAAGTAAGATGGATGAATAGGTATATCAAAAACTTACAGTTTTGTGCTGGAGTTTTCTGGTTGAAGTTGACTCCTGACTTCAAGTGGAACTCATATATATGATATATTGTTAAAGATGTTGGCAAATGATCAGTTCATTCTATTGCTCCATGAAAAAACTAACTCTCTTCTATGCTTTATCGTTATAAGAGTCAAATTCAACCAAAAATGGAGTATCTGCCATATCTTGGCTGGAGCTGCTCAATCCTCACATTCCAGACTTAACAGATTTCAAAATTATTTATATAGTTTTTGGGGTGAGATTTATTCTCCATTCTACAGACTCTGCTCCACGGAAACAACATTGCAAAGTTATCACTACTCTATCGCTGTTTCCACGACAAACGTTCAGATGAGATCCATTCTTTAGTTCCACCAGTTCAGACCTTCACAGCTATGACACATCATGCTTTGTTCATGAAGTTGAATCACCCTCATTTCTTCCATGTTCTAAATGTAAAAAGGTTCCACTAAGACTTTTTGAAACAGGCTTCAATGTCAGTGCTTCCCTGAATACTTCAATCTTCATCTCTTCAAATCATGTGTCAGTCGTTATCTATCCTCCTTATCCTCATAATCCTCACTTACTACCACTTTCATTGATATCACACAAAAAGCTTGTCAGAGCAGTTGCCATGAAAATATTTGTAAAAAAGTGGGAAGCCACATCATATCAGTGAGAAAGTGACTGAAGTTGAGATGTGAAGTAGGAATCGATTACATGATACACCCTTCTTTGGATTTTGTCAGGAACCTCAAGATGAATAGCAGGAGAACCAGACCACATATAGCAGCAGTATTTAATGCATCAGAGAATGGTAGATTTGTAAATGTGCAAGATGGATTCTGATGAGAAAAATTTTCAAGTCAGTGGAAAACATGAGGCCAAGAAGGTGCAGTGTGTTGTATGCCAGGAGTCTAGTGTCAGCCATGCTGATGGCTGGTGGAAAAGGTTCTCTATGGTGGTTTGTGTAAGATTAAACAATTATCTTGTGAAATGGCATTGTCATAAGATAAATTCAATCACCCACAAAAAGGTACACACTATATAAGGAAATGAAGTAGAAATATTAATACCTTCTGATTGGGAATTGCATTTGGTCTGCCACCAACAAGAGAAATAGGTAAACGTATATCTTGGGAATGATACTTTCCAGTAACATCAGGGTGTCGATTTTTACCTGTTCCTGGATAGCTGGGTGTTGAAGATGAATCTGCAGCTACAAAAAGCAAAAGAAAAAATTACAAAATTAGAAAACTGACATTAGACAGATGAAAAAGGAAAAAGGACATTTAAACAGAAATAACATAGAGTAAAAAGATTTTACAAGATTTTTCCTTTCAAAACCATGTGGGTTTTATAACTTGGCAAGATAAAGCTGTGTGGATTTGTAGTAATTATGAAATATAAATTATTTGATAAATTATATGGACTAGAATAATGACCTTTGTTGCTTCAATTTTAAGTTGTCAGCTCTCTGACCTTCTTCAGGTATTACTCTTCAAATAATAAGAACACCATTGTATGTGATTATACTAGTGAACATATTAAGTCGATGCAAAAAATGCTAGTACTTATTTCAATTTTGACAAATTCTTATATTTCTATAAATACATCCAGTCATCTAAGTATTTTTCATGGATATTGCAGGGACCTAAACAAGTGATAGCCTGAAAGTGACAGGTCTGGAGAATATGCCACATGAGGAAGAACTTCCCATCTTGGTTCTATGACTGTTTGCTGTGTTGCATTTGCAATGCTTAAATAAACAGGAGTTTCATTGGACAATTTTATTGCCGAAAGAAGGATTTTTTTTTTTTTTTTCATATTTTACCTCTTCTCATTTAATAGATGAATATTGTCTGTTTCATTCTGTAAATAGGTGAAGATTGAAAAAAATATATTTTAATTATTGGATGTGACCTACAACTGGGGAAGGAAAGTAAACTCATAGGCCGAAACATCATGATTGAAACAATAAACATGAGGATATTGAAACATCAAACGATGGCAGATTTAAAGCTCAAAACATTTTGTGTGTAGCAGGACAAAAAAATGCAGGCTTTGAAGAAGTTGTTTTTTAAATATGAAGCCCAACAAACAATACATTCAGCATCTCAGGATGTATCAAAAGTATTTTCATTTCTAACAGATCTATACTCAAAAATCTATTCGCACAGAATATAACAATCTCTTATTGATTGCAAAAAAGGAGAAACATTACAAATTCAAGTCATGCCATTTTGATCTCTGTGAGAAGTGAACAAACTGAACTCAAATCAGTGGCAGACTGGGTCTAAAAATATTTGTTGCCAGAAAACAAAGAAGGTTCACCCACAACTACAATGTTATCATTTAATTTTCATAATGAATAAATAAAATTTTTTAAAAAATAACATATGGAAAAAAATAGTAGCATTATAATTTTTGTGGAAAAAAGGTGTATATCTTCATCATGTGTCGACTGCAGTTGAGAGCATGAAGTCTACAACAGTACACCAGACCTCCTGGTCCTCCATTACTGTCCTCAAGTCCTGCCTACCAATACCTGCATACCCTGAGATGACATCAGGGAATGATAGTTTTCTTCCCCTAGTTTAGTTTGACACAGGCTTCCAGAGTAGGAGAGAGGAAACAACCTCATTTTTGACATGGTGGCAGTGGCCAGCAAACTGTGCTCGACAAGCTCATATGAGAGAGGAAACAAGTGGTAGACTGCTGTAGATTTGGTGGATGTTTAGATGGTGTTTCCAAAAGAGCTTTTGAGCTCCCATCAGAAGATTGGTTTAGATTCCATCCAGATGTTTCTCCATGCATTTAAAGAGTATCCCTGTTTCAGAGCCATAGAGTAGAATTGGCTCAACAGTGATTCTGAATATTTTGATCGTGAGTTTTCTGTCCAGTTGTGATGTTCAGATCTTGTGTATACCATTGCATGTAGACCATGCCATACCCTTCCTAGTTTGGAAGTCTTTCAAAGAGGAGGAGATGAATGATCCTAGATATAGATTATATTCAAATTGGTGTTATTAAGGGATTTTATAGGATTGTCATTGTTGGTTGTACATGTGGATGTTGTGATGAGTTAGTTCCATCAACCTCACAAACACACATTGTAAGTTGTAAAAAGCATACAATTGTCAACTCCTTGAATGCAAGGACACTCAGCCCTCTCGACCACCTTGAAGAGCTAGCTGAGAATGCAAAATCACTATCTATAGATATACTTGCAGTCCAAGAACACCACTTCTACCATTCTAAGGACATCTTGAAATAACACCAAGCATCTTACCAACTTGTCAGCTACAAGAACTCCAGCAATGCTACCATTGGAGGTATTGGCTTTCTTCTTTTATCTAAAGCCAGCAACAATCTCTTAGAGGTCAAGTCAATCTCCCCCAAAATACTAGTACTTGAGCTGGAAGTCAATCCTAAAACAACTGTGATATGTGTCTATAGCCCTCACAATTCCTCTGAATTGAGTGAGGTAGTAGACTTTTATACAACTTTGCATACCACTGTAGAGCAAGTACCTCTGTATAACTTTCTAGTCATTGCTGGTGACCTGAATGCCAAACTAGGTCCTGATGAAGTAAAGTTCACATTCAACAAAATGAAAAAACACAACAGAGAATATCTGAAAGACTTTATGGAAGAATTCAATCTGTTCAGCTCAAACACCAGCATCATGAAGCCTAGAGGTCAACTATGGACATTTGAGTACCCCTTTGGTGAACATGCTCAGATTGATTATCTGATCTTTTGGAAAAAGTGGAGGAATAGTGTTTGAGACTCTAGATCCTACTCGTTCTTCAGCCCTGTTGGTTCCGACCATAGAGTCATCTCTGCTACCATCAAACTTAGCCTTAGATCATCCAAACAAGCCAAACCACATCCCATGGAACAGATTGACTGGAAGGAGGTTTCATGCAGCCAGGACCTCTTGAAAAACTTCACTCTTGAAGTATACAATAGATTCCAGACTTTGTCCACTGTTGATATCACCACAGATAATGTTGAAGAAGTGTATGTCAGTCTTATTTCATCTACTGAGAAAGTAGCACTTGCAGCTCTTCCCAAAAAGAAGAGTAGAGACTGAATAAAATGCGCTCTTGTGTGGTTGAGTCAAAAGGCAACCTCATAGCTATTTCACAATCCTAGCACAAGTCCACATCTCAAGCAAAGAATATACAGTATATAATGGCCTAATAGAAATTTGATGATGCGTATCTTGAAGCTGAATCTAACCACATCAACAGCAAGATAGATTACCTTTCAAGACAGCACATCAGCAAACAACACCATCTAGCCTGGAAAACTGTAAAAGACATCTCCAGAAAAATTCTGTCTCAACTATCAGAATCAAGGGAGAATCCACCAGGAAATGTCTCAAAAACTGGTGAAACCATTTCAAGAACCTTACCAAGAAGCAAGGCTTCTGGAGAACTGTACACTCCCAAGTGTTCAAATCTTGGACCCTCTCCCTTCTTGATCAGTGAGCTTAAAGCAGCAACCAAACAATTCAAAGGTTCCAAAGCATTTGGTCCAGATAACATCCCAGTCTTTATCTGGAAAGATGAGCATTTTCAACAGCTCCTACTCAACCTTTGTAACTACACCTTCTCAACATTCATTTAGCATAAATTACAGATCATTCCTATGCCAAAAAGGGAGACCTCTCTCTAGTAACCAACTATAGAGAAATCTCATTGATGCCAGTTGCTGCCAAGGTATACAATAAACTCATCCTCAATCTCTTGATACCCTTCATTGAGCCTGCACTCCAGAACAACCAAAATGGCTTCAGACATGGCAAATCTACCATAAGCCAAATCCTGTGTCTGCACAGACTTATTGAGGAATCTGAACTGAGCAAATTAGACCTTGCATTTGTTTTTCATTGACTTCTGAAAAGCTTTTGACTCTGTTGACAGATCTAAAATATTTGAAATTCTTAAACTTTATGGAATCCCTGACAAAATGCCAATCTTTCCTCCACGCTACACTGCACACCTTAACAATGTGGAACATAGGCTCTCTTTCAGTTCTACAGAATCCCCATCCACAGCTCCAGTGATGCCTGGCCCTTCTGGTCCTGCCTGAATCACCAGCTGTTGGTCCCTGTAGAGCCAATCTTCAGAAATCAGGATATGTCACTGGACAATCACAAACTATGGGACATCTTCTAGTTTGCCCCAGTCTTGAATAGACATGCACAATTAATGACCTTGAAACCTTAACACCCAAGGACAGGCTCTGTGTACAACACTGGATGGGTGTACAACTCAATAAGATGAAGAACTACACAATTTACAATATTTCAAAATCACAATAGAGCATTGCATGCAATCCACTGTATTAAGAGCAATCGTTTGTGTTCACTAGATGATTGTTCATATCTGCCAATAATTTTTTCCACATCCAATTCATCTATTCCATTGCTGAGGAGTAAGTTCCACTTGAGTAGCTTTTTCCTGTAAACCACTGCTCTGTGGAACCAACTCCCAAGATGATGTTTTCCTGATCACTAAAATTTTAACCTGTTCAATATCTGCTAAAACTGTACCTCTTACTCTGTAACCCTCTACCTCATACAGGGTGAACCTAACTGTAACAAAAAAAAATCTTTTTCAATGGATAGCAACATGTATGATTCCAAATTTTCCTCAGAGAGCAAATTTCTTAACCTTGTCTTTATGATCTTTAGCATTGAAAATGTCTTCTCACATTGGACTTAACTAACTGATATTGTGCAGATGACTTTATAAAGTTCTTATTTCTTTTTATTGCTAAACACTTGTCTGTATTCATTTCTTTATTACATTTTTATTTGATATAGGGATCCCACTTGCCATTTGGTAAGCTGACAGCCTGGCTAGTCCACTATCGACACAAATAAACTTTCATACAAACAAGAATAGATATATATTTTTATTCAACTGGATAACAAATTTCTTTAATATGTTTGTAATCCTCATAAAAATAAGACATTTGTTTCTTTGATTGATCATGAAATAACAAAATACATCCAAATAACTAAGATTATTATATATATATATATATATATATATATATATATATAAATTAAAACAAAAGATGGTCCATGTCTGCTTCTTATAATATGTAGATTTAATAGGCCGGTTAATGAAATTTGAGGAATAAAAAGACAACAAAACACTGTCAATATTAGCAATAAAATTGATGACTAAATTGAAGCAT